ATATTTTTATTTATATTATATATGTATATATATATATATATATATATATATATATATATATAATATATTTTTATTTTATATTTTCATAATTTGAACATTCTTTGAAAATCGTTCCTTAACAGGATCACCAAATTTTGAATCTGTATGTATCCGTGGGTCACAAAATTGAAAGACGAGGTTTTGTACGATTTCCACGTTTTTATATATTATTTCTAATTTCGTAGAAATATTGGCACAGTAAATGAAATTCCGCCGCACCTCAATTACAGGAATCTGAATTATGAAATGATTAAAAGTTTAATTATTTCCTCAGTCGCGGAGACTTTTTGTTTACAATATTCACCTGCTTATTAAATTTTCAATTCAACGTAAATAGGTGCCGGTAGTTTTTACATGAGCGCAGTGAACATTATTATACGGCGCTTTTTGTTTTAAATTAAGCCTCTTATGTAGTAATCGAATGAGAAGCGAAACGATGCGCTTTATTAGGGAAAGAGGATTATTTGATAATGGGATTACGAAAAGAATATCACGGGATAATTAAATTCGCCACGGGATTCGCGTCGCTTAATTATACGTTCACGTTTTAAGAAATTTCAACGAAACCAGAAACGTTTTACTATTCATTGATAATTCATTCAGCACTTTATGCCGTGAATTCCAATGAAATTGCGTCCTACGTAATTGTTTAATATTAACGGAACATTATCCATATTAGACTGTAAACGATTAATTAGCAACGCTTCGGAATAAGTAAATGAAATTGATTTTTAATCCTCATAATATACTTTTTTTATGTTCCAGGTATGATTGTAATCACGATTCAACTACGCTATGCTCAGAGTTCCCTCGTCCTGTAAGGTATGTTTTACCTCTGCTTAATACATGTGCGAATAACCAGAAATTTTGATGGTATTCGAGAAATTTTATGTGTCCGTGGCTAAATTTTTCGTCGTATACTATCCTGTCGTAAACTTAGAACATCGTAAAATTATCCAAAGAATGGGATCGAAGCAGTTTTACGATTTTTCAATGGAAACACGAAAATTTTCCCTACTCGCAGCATCTATCTATTCGCCGACACTGGACTACGAATTTTCATTTCCATAAACGATTTCATAACCGTCAAAGTAAGAGACAAAATCATTGCGCTATCTCAGAAATTATTTCAGGGGAAGAATAAAGTAAAAATCTCGCTAGTGCAGTCCTCGTTAATTAGATCTGAAAATCTGATGATCATCCAAAGAATGAAGATTCGAATGAGTAAAATCATGTTTAAATAAGTGAAAAAACAAACAGATGAAATTACATTTAGAACTCTTTGAAGTATATAGAATATTCTAGCTTTGCTTAAAAGATAAATGGCGCGTGATGTTCCAAATATTTTTAAATATCCTGAGAAGCGGCAAATTGGTGGATGAGATTTTTAAGACATTTTCGTACGTCATTTTATAAAAATTCGAATGAGAGAAAAATTTCCTTGGTCAACTACTTACACAGGTACTTTCTATATTACTTCTTACACAAGTTTTGCAGTCCAAATTAACCCTTTTACTGGTTTTATTCATCTTCTTGCAAATTAAATTCATGTTTTTGCAAATAATATCACAAATCAAAACTGACCATTTTTTATTAAATTCTTTTTCATATAAACTTTATTAATTATTATTAATTTAATTTGCAAAAGGGTAAATTTTTAATTTGCTAATAGGTAAATAAAACCTGCAAAAGGAATAATTTTTTTTGCATACAGGTGATTTACAAAAGGATTAATGTGGGTGCAAAAAAATGAGAATATGATCTAGAAAAGAATTAGTTTAAAGAGCAATACCTGTAAAAAGAAAATAAAAATGCTATTAGACCTTGTTAATTTATTCGTTTTCTTATATTTTAACACTAAATCGTGCCAGCAAACATATTTTGTTGTACATTACTTATTCTAAAATAATTGAAATTATGAAGACTTTCTCATTGGAAAAATGTCGAAAGGGCTGAATAAATTCGATTTTGCCAATCTTATAAAGCAGCACACGTCAGTCCCTTTTAGATCTCGGCAGGCTTAGTGTCAAAAACTGCCCATGATATATTTATTCATAAAAATCCGCAAGCTGGCCATTAGTATTTATCGATACAATCATTCCATTGCGTTCCAAGATTTGCGATTGTAATAACAGAAATTCCAACTCTAGTCGTCGCATTGTCGTATCGATCGAACCGTGGACAATTTACCTCAAAGTATTTCTCAGTAAGATTAAAAAAGTAACATGAAAGAAGAACTCGGGTCTAGAAGTTCGAAGTGTTTAAAGGAGGCGTTGGTTCAGTGCAGTTCGAGGTTCAATTGCGAGCAAATTGGGCTTTCCCCATCCCGTTCCCGCTGTCAAAGAAACCGAAGTCCTTGGCACAACTTTCAATTAAACGCCGCCTTGTTCTACCGCGATCACTGTGCTTTCTTAGCAATAACGGATAGTGGAAATTTAATTATTGCATTAGGATCTGCGAGATCAAAGGCCAAGGAAACGTAGTCGGCTACTGCAGTTCACGAGAGAACCGGGCAACGTGTAAAAACGAAGAACTGGCTGAAAATATCTCAGGAGTTAAGCGGGGCTGTGCACGGCTCGATCTGCGAAATATCAGATTCGCTGGCGAAATCCGATCGGTGACCGTATAAATAGCTGTGCACGACCTTCGAGACGATCTACGCAAGTTCACCGATGTCCACCCCGGTATGTCCCTTTGTCTGGCCGGCAAATGACGTTGCGTTATTTTGCACGTCATTCGATATCAGCCCGATGATCGTCTACCCCGTAACGTTTCCGTAAAAATAGATGCATTCCGATAACGGCGATGACGCGCTCGTTGGAAGCCCTAAAGCGTAGATCGAATGCATCTCGGGATGAAACCGCGCACACAATGGCGAGCAACGTCACTACATTGTCGTCATACAACTTACAAGTTCTCCCGGGATGGACCCGGCAGGGGAGATAGATGAGCGATGACCGTGAACAATAAACTAACTTCTTGTTCCAGCACTGTCGCGGATCGGTGGACCTTTTCTCCGCTCGCCGTGCTCGCTGCGAAGTGCTCCATATTTTATTATACCCTTTCTTACAATTATTTCGAGTACGTACGCCGGTTGGATAGCGCAATAATTCTTAAATAGGATCGAAAGTAATCATTTGCCTTTGTGGATCACGATTACGCAAAATCTATTACGGTTATAATAGAAAATGTTGTACGGTCATAATCAGAGGCCGTAAGTTTTATCACCGAAACGAGAAACAATTGAAGTGCATAACCATTAAATTTCTGCTTAAAATGATTTTGATTACCAATTGATCATTATAACGACCAGAATTTGTTTGGTTACCAATAACCATTATAAATAACAGAAATGGTTTTTGGTTACAAATAAACATTATAGATGACAATTGTCCTTTTTCTGTTACAGATAAGAGTTGTTGATGACCAGAATGTTAATTCGTTATTATAATTATAACCGTTACGTGGATAACCAGAATTTTATATTGGTTACAAATAAATCATTATCAGAATTTTATTTATATATTTATATCTATTTTTTCAGTTTCACGTATGGTTGAAATACCGATACACTTACGGACAAAAGTTACTAAACGTGTTACACAAACGCATATTCTTGGTTTTAGCAACTCTTCTCAGGATAAAGAGGACAAAGATTTCTGTTGTGTGAACAAAAATATTAATTTAATTATTATCATAAATATTATAATAATAAATCTAATAACA